AACGCAGCCATTAAATGATTTAACAGAAATTATTTAGCAGAAATTCGAATAGAATTATTTAGAGAACGCGGTTTTTTTCCGTAAAATATTTTTGCAATGGTAATTACATTAAAAAAATATACGAGTCATTTCAGACAGATTACTGAGTGACCTAATGATTTTGTGACTTTTTTTGCAGGAATAAATAGTGCATGATATCTGTGGAGCTGGTCATTGTTGACTTAATAACATACGATTCGCGTAATCAGCTGAGAATCGTACGACTGGGTCACGCACGGGTTTACTGCATGCATAAGTAGTAACAAGTCAAGTCTTGTGAACCTTTGTATCAAAGTGATTGTTGGAAGTTAACTTGTGGAAGATTTTGTATATTTGTTGTACGTAGATTTATATTTAATAAAAATTACGAAACTACGTCGTTTCCTTCTCATTTCGTAGAATAATGGCGCACGATACTCAATGATTCATTCAAGCCAAATCTTTATCATCTTGAAATTGCGTTAGAGAGAAAAAGAGAGAGTGTGCGCGCGCGCGCACACACGCGCGTGTATATGTGTATGTGTCAATTTTTGAAATAATGCTCGATTCTCCGTGACTTGGCCGATAGTGGGAATCGACCTTAAGATGTTTTTATTCCAGTTTTTGCAAAATATTCAATTTATTTTACATTTGCCCTTTTACATTATATATTGACCTTTTCTGCCTTTCATTAAAGATAATTTCAGATTCATCATCCATCCATCAGATTCATTTCACGTGATGAATTAACAAAAAAAAAAATCAAGGACTTAGAACGTATATACGATATTATCTAGTTTTTCTGATCATGAGATAAATATGTAGACAAGCTTGTTTTATTGAAGTCACGTATATAACAGATTGCGTTCTGTTGACAAAAATATTTAACGAGTTTTTAAGCATGGCATATCGTACAAAAGAAATTGATTACATGAGCTCGCTATCAATGCGAGATAGATCACGTTAAAGGAACGTGAAACTTGACATATACTTGCCCGAAAAATGATGAAAGGTACAAAGGTGGTCTTGAAATGAGGATTGCATAAGAGCAGGCGACAATGTAATATTAAACAATCAGTGATGCGTAGAAAAGTGTACAGTATATATTATCATTATCGTAGTATTGCATTCATGAACATAAAATAACATTTGGATCATTTCGTTCGGAAGCCAATATCCGTCGTTGTACGTCATCGAAATTCATTAAGTAAAGTCGATTTTAATATTCGCATAATAAATACGTAAACGATTATTTGAATTATTTTCTCGCGACTGGTTGACAACTTATTGATAAACAATTATAATTAAATATACATATACGTTAAATTACAAGAGATAAGAGAATGTTTACACGCATAATTGTACAATCTCTAATTTATGAAAAGAAATAACCTTTTTTTCAAGATGCTTAAGTACTTTTCTAAATGTAAAAATGTACATGTATTACGACATGCGATATTCATAATCTTTGTTATAAAAAGAAAAAATTGCTACGACTTCTTTCTCAAGATGTATATTAGAACTGATCAATATCTACAACTACTTGTGCAAGACTGTTCTTAAACTTTTCAACGATGGTATGCGATTTTTAATGCGATTTAAATTTGATGTCTAAAACGTTTATTTCATTTTCTACAAATTTATAAATTATTTTAAAAAATAGATTGTTCGTACGACTATTAAGGACTGTTCGCCGGGTACATCCTTAATTCTTTCTGCCCCGTCGAACGATAGCACTGAGCATGTTTCTCACCACATTTCTCTACGCATTATTTAGGTCGCGATTTTTACTTTGACAAGCTATAGATTTTCATTATATAGGCAATAAAGAAATGAATATAACGGTAAAAAATTCTCCCAATAACAAATCTATGGATTATAAGATAACGTTGCTTACAACGACATTTAAAACTGACTTCCTTTTTCTTCTTTTAAAATTGAAATTTGATTAAATTATCGAAAATTATGTGGATTTTTCGCTTATTGCGTTTACAGGACTCGTAATTGAAGCGATTTCAAGATAGGATAATGGAAAGAAGATATAGAATCTGGTGTCATGTAGGATTTATAAAGAATTATTATTTACACATGTACGTGTTTGGTCTTATAAATTATTATTAAATAATACCCAGTGTGTATATATATATATATATATATATATATATATCTCCAATTGCAAAAGAGAGATATAGATAGTAACAAAAAAATCATAATAACAGTTGTGCAACAGCCGCTCGGACCTGAGAAACGCGCGCGCGCTCGCACACGTTTCTCTCATATGCAAAAGTAGCTCTTTATTAATTACATATAAAAAATTTAAAAGAGGAGAATCGCCGTGTGCTTTCTTGCCCGCCCCCCTAAGCGAATCTCCTCCTTAGGATATCGTCCGCGCGCAGGCGGACGCTAATTGGCTATGGATCCTTGATTAGAATCTAAGTATCCTACGACCTAAGAACCCTGAAAAAAACCTACCCTAGGATCGGCAGCCGTAGGACCTAAAGATCCAATGAAATATGAATCCTAGGTGTTGTAGACTCGAAAATTTATCAATTCATTGTTTCACGAATCCTATAGGTAAATCTTAGGATCTTATAAGAATCCTGAGAGGTACGTATCTTAAATATGCCTTAGAATCTATGGGCTCGAGAATTTGACAGATTCTGTGCTCCGCAGACCCTGTCTTACGAGTCCTAGGATATAAGGATCCTGAGAAACAACGGCACCCAAGATCTATAACTTTTTAGGACATACGGCTCCTAGAATCTAAAAAGAGTTTAAGAAATATGATTCCTAGGATTCGCGGACTTAAAATTCGATGGTTCCTAGGATGATACAAAATCCTAGATATACGAACGCTATTTAATCTAAATCCTTGTCTCAGACATATTTACAAATTCTAAAAATTTAGAGCTATCCTGTGTGCCACATACTTTAGGCTATATATATATATAACTTTACATTTCAACACCTAATGAACATAACAATTTCATATCTTAGAATGTAAACTCCAATATAGTCTACGTGTCTATATGGGTCCATATGTTTCTGAAGGCCTGAAACTAGTATCTCCCATCTTAAAAAGATATCGCAAATATCGCAATAATAAATAACGATTGCGTTTTTATTATTAACGAAATTAGCGTAAAATGCTCACGTTTAGCGCAAAATGCCCAAAGATCACGTTTCAAAAAAAGAAAAAATATACACATTTTCAAATATTCGAAATTACAGTATTATATTTACAGTAAGTGAGTTAAATAAAACATACATGTCAACATTACTTCAATTAATATCTTAATGTATAATTATTTAACTAAATAATTTTGAAGTAGAAAAAGAAAATGCAAACAATAATTTAAAAAATCGCATTATAGTCCATAAAACTTTAAGTTTAGCGATAGTATCCACTGAACACGTGAATCCTAGAAGCCGTTAAACCCTAATATTTCCTATCATAAATAGATCCTGGATGTATTATGGCTACGTCGACCAGCGGCGTGAGAAAGAAACAGAGAAAAAGAAGGATGGAGGAAAATAGAAAAAGAGAGTTGAGGGAAAGAGATAGAGAAAAGGGCGCCCAGGCGCCCTAGTGTGCCGAGTACCGCCTTAATTGGCTTTGAGCTTGTCGTTATAGCCGATGTGACCAGGTGCGCTATTGGCAAAGTGCTTCTTATCGGTCTTCTTTCCAGCCACGTACGCCTTATGGAAGAATCGCGCGAATAGGACAAAATAGCTCAAGTACATCGCGAAGCTAAAATGGATATTCATGCGGGTGATGTTGCAGTCCACGTTGCCGCTCTCCAGGTACTGATATGCGGATATATTGATAAGGCAACCGATCACCATCTGGGCAAGCTGTAGCGTAGTGATCACCATAGAGATCGCTTTAGGTGGCCTGTACCGCATCGCTTTGAGAGCGTAGTAGGTGTACATGATCGAGTGGACGCAGTAATTCATCACGACGTACCATCGCGCGGACGCGGTGTACTCCGAATACGAAAACCAGGAGTACAATAAGACGGTAATGTGGTGATACCAGTGCAGGAAGATCAGCGGCTGTTTACGCAGCACGATGAAGATCGTGTCGCCGAGCTCGGGTAGTTTCGACAGCACGAACATCCACGTCCAGAAGCCCGACACGCAATCCTGCTCGATAAAACTGCAACCAAATTGATGATTTTCTTGTAGAATATATTTTCAATTGTGTGTCACACAAACATCTTACAGGAATTTACAGGAAAATTTCAAGTCGTAATCATTCAACTGTACGATTATTTAGTCAGTGTCATTATTTCCTGTTCTACGAAATTATCGAAGTTTATTCTCTCCATTTCAGAGGAAATTCATGCAAGTTTATGCTAAATAATAATTTATGCTAAGTCGACTATAATACTAGAAACGAGTAGAAGAAATTCAAAAACCAAATTGAAGACATATAAATATACATACATACATAAATAACTTGTGTGTTATAATATTCACATATTGTTTGAATAAATATTTTGTGCGTTTATCGTTATGATCTAACTTGCAAGTTGTTTCACAAAGAACACAATTCATCTGTGCTTTTCTTTTACCTATGCTTTGTTTTAAAACTTTTCGTGTGTAATCTACTATAATCCATTATCAGGTATCGTAAATTTAAATGTTACAATTATATTATCTCATTTCATTTGCTTTTAAAATATCCGTCTTTACGAAATCATACATTTTTCAATGGTTTCGTAAAGACAGACATTTTAAAGTGCAAATTGAAATCAGGTAATATAATTGTAACATATATAAATTTACGATATCTGATAATGAATTGTA